AACCTCGATGGGTACCAAAATATTTTTGGTTAAAGTTGTATCTAAAAGACAAGACTCGGAATGTCACCATTGTCGATGCAGAGTATTTGTTGGATTTCCGGCGTAAGGTTGTTTATGACAAAGAACAATCAGTAATTTATAATAGTAAAGGTAAAGGGTACGGGATTGTCACTTTGAACTATACTGTATTCCGCTGTGCACTCTTTGCTCTAACGACTCTTGGAGTTTATAGGAATGGAAGTGGTATTGAAAATGATAAAACTGATGAAGTTGTGACTGTGAGTGGTAGCATTTCTGCCAGCACTCAGGTGGAGGGTAAGAGGGAACTTTCACGCGTTCTCTGTGATATATCCATGTCTTTGACCGTGAATAATGATGACACTATGCTGCCTGTGGTCGCTGTGCCAGCTTATTCATTACTTCGAATCAAACCAGACTTGGTAGTTAATGGTGAACGAATTGTCACTGGTAATGACACTTTGGAATGCAAACCTGAAGCAGATAATGGTCCATGTTGTAAGAAATTTATGGTGGAAAATTGGTGCATCTGTTTGGGAGTGTTTTTTATCCATCCATATCGTTGCCTTCAGGATGAAGATGAGTTTATTGGTGAGTTGATAAGCTATGATACTTATAAAATATTATATGAAGATGATTATGGGTCCTCGGATAGTGATGAAGAAAACCTTTTGGTTCGGGGAATTAGTACCATTGAGGAATCTCAACAAAAGAGGTATGATACTTTACATGATTTATTTAAAAGATCACCGGTTTGAGTTATGTCATGCATTTTTATTTTATTTTTATTGAGTTGTGTGTGTTCTTAATGTTCTTTGTTATCTTGTACTGTATCAATATAGATTGTGATTGTTTGAGATGAATAATAATTGCCTTGGGAACTATTCTTGAATTTTCAGGTTCTGGCCAAAACAATTTTCTCGAGAACTTGTTGAGGTTTTCTCTGTTTATGTTGGTTCTTTTAGTCCTGGATGTACTTTGAGTGTCTTTGGAACAATCAAGTATGAAACAATCAGCTTTGAAAATGAGTTTAAAGGTTATCTTATCTTCGAGAGAGAGGAGGTGAAACCTGAAGTAGTGTTTCCCTATAAGCCTATATCGTTGCTAAAGCCTTGTAATTGTTATGAGGCCGACAATGGTTACTTTGCTATGCATCTTGACCTGAAGGATGTAGGAGGGCGTGAAATCAGTAACGGGTGTATGAAGTGGCATATTCATAAAACACATAGGTGGTATGACAAGCGCATATGCTCTGTTGTTACAGGTGAACATGGTTTTGCTTGTGTGCATTATGTGATCTTCCATGAAGCAGTATCTGCAAGAGTTCGTGTTAGACTACTGTCTTTAAATTCTCCATTTCAAGTTTACGGGAGTATTTATGCTAGGTATAGCGAGTACAGGTGTTCTACAAACTACGAGAGGAAATTCTATCGGAGCATGTTGTTTAGAAAGGAGAAGTCGGAAGTTGTGGAGTCGTGTGGTCGTAGATCACCGGATTCTGATTATTATGCAATTGACATACCGTTGTCAAAAGATTTAGTCGCTGTACAATCTAGTACTAAACTGATTTTGGATGTGAAATTACATGTTCAGGGTGGAGGTAAAATTGAAGAGACAATCAGAGGTGAGCTAAAATTTGATCCTGAAGGTTCAACTATGGTATGTGCCAAGAAAATCGAAGGGCAAAAGCCACAAGTCCGTCATTTATTAGTAGTGGAAGTTGAGTGGAGTTGAATTATGGCCTTTTTTATGATATCTTAAACATTAATATATATCAATGTTTTATTTAATTTTTTGCTCCAAGTTTCTTAGGTTTATTTTGACTCTTTGCTTAATTCTGTATAATTGTTGTTTTATTACTAATTTGACAAGATTACTTCTATAACAGATAACATACGAAGTTTGTTTTAGTTTTCAAAATGTGCAAAACCAAATCTGATTATATGAATGAATTTGGCCGAATTAGTCAAATAACAACAGATGTTCATTGGCTTCTTATAAAGAGACACTCTACGGGTTTGAGTTCTTTGATCATTCTTTATATGATCACGGGAATATGCCTACATAAAATAAGGCCTTGTTTTATTTACCTTATTTTTTTCTAATTTCGTAAAAAAATAATATTTAAATAAAATAAGGTCTAATAAGTTTAGATATGTGTTAATTAGGTGAAAAAAATACACTCAAATGAGAAATAAAAGTTTCTTGTTGTATCCAACATAGGACAAGATTAATGAAATATTATTTCGTTATCAAGTAGAAGAAACAAAAGAGATTCAATTTACAAAAATACGTTATATTCTACACATTTGCCAATTCAATACTTAACATGACAACTTTATCTTCCAAGAGCCTCCAACTCTTCATAGAGGCTATTTCCATATCAAACTTTGTTTCCATGAATCGGTATACATTGTTCAGATCAAATTTTGCTAGCATGTTTGCTAAATAGAGTATGTCGACCCTCAGCAATAGTCTCCCCGGTAGCTTTATTCTTGAGCACGACAGTAGTTCCAAAAACAAACCCCTTCCGTCCCAAAAGCCTTGAGGTAACTTCTAGCTCATCCTATGAAATATACGAGTGTTAGTTGCTACTGAATCATGCTTTACACTGATTGTCTATTCTATAGGAAATTCTGATGTGCTAACTCCTAGTAATGAATCATACTTTTACACTGATTGTCTATCTTATGTATCTTATACTTTTAGGTGGTAATGAATGGTAACATAAATTAAAGAAAAACATCCACTTAAAAGGCTTTACAAAGAACATTCACTTATCAAGATTCCAGGCAATAAAGACTCGTTACCATCCTTAAAACAATGCCTGAACAATGCATATGTTGAACTTTATGAGTGCTAACTTTTGCCTATTTGATTCATATCTGTCTCACAATATGAGTAGATTATTTCTCATATAATCATATCAATCTATTAATATACAACCAGCAACCCAAATCATCGTTAGCATAGAAAGCAGAACATCATGTCATAAATTCACTTAACCAATGCTACCACACCAGCAACCACACAACTGATACAAACAAACATTTTGCAGATGCAATACCAACCAAATGCAAAAGTTCGATTTGAAAATTCCAGTCTCCCCCCCCCCCTACCTTAATACAGCCCTTTGAGTTGCTTAATATTCTCTAAAACCAGAGCAAATCACGATAAGCAACAACAGCAACGAGCACAAAGAGTCAAATGACACAAGCCTTATTTGTGTGGCACACCATAAAACTAAATGAACAAACCAATCTTTGGCTGCCCAATTTGATCTGGCACTGCTTGATTTCACCAGCATTTGCCCGAGCCAATATAGCTCATGTTAACATTCATAATGAAGCAAACCATCACAAGTCACTCATACAACAAACCAAAGTATGATCAGCATGATAAACAATAACAAGAAGTTCAAGAATTGAAGTTACACATACATCAACATTGGCAGTTGACACATAGGAGATAGACATGGTGACAGATACATTCATTGGAAGTCCTTCTCTGTAAATAACCACAGCACCAAGCTCATCAACAAGGTTCGCAATTGCGCCGGATGCTAAATTTCCATTTCTATCCTGGACCATTAAGGAATCAAACTATGTATTACTTATCAATTTTTAGCTTCTTTCTTGTTACAACATTTCAGCATTGAATCTCATAAATTGTAAAGATTGAGACTTCTTTGATGTATTAAGTTGCTCTAATATATGAATTACATAGAATTTCTGACATATCAGGTGAAATTCAAACTACAATTATAAATTTGGGGTTTTTTTTCCAATCAAAGTCGCTCCAAGATTATAAAAACAAATAGATAAAACCCAGAAAGTAAATTGAAATACCCATATAAATGAAATTATCAGTTGAATTGATTTGTACAAGAAAGAAATGGAGTTTTAATGAAACTTACAGTGAGTCTAGGGGGAACCTTGAATGAACAGACGACGAGTTGGGGCTCAACTCGGTCAACACTGATACCGCGTAAGGTGAAATCTTCATAGAAGCTGAAATCGAGGTGAGGACGATGAGGATGGACATCAAGTTTAGATACAATTTCTGATTCTTCCTTACTCGCTTCAATTGTTCCTTTCGCTTTCTCCATAGTTGCTTTGTACAGTTTGTACTGGTTACAAAGTAATTTGTAACCACTTAAGTCTTTAACCCATTACTTGTATTAGCTAACAGAGTAACAAGTAACGAATGATAAAAAGATGGTTAAATGGGTTTTATTTAATTAATCTAGACTAGTAGATACTAGATAGTAAAAATGGGGGTTGTGGTTGTTAGGTACATGCCGTTCAAGACCTTCTGGTGTATCTTGTGTTCAACTAGGTCGTGTTTAGAATGAGTCAAGAAACAATTGTGTTGTGTCAGGCTCGTGCTGATCTTTCATAAATGAAGCTCATGGTCTGACCCACATACTAGCTGTAAAGTTGTGTCGTGCTAATGAGCCATCTAATATTAACTTTTTTTTTAACAACTTTTCTTTGGGTCTAATATATATCTAGTACGAGTCTTATACCAATCAATTTTCAAGTCGGTTCAATTTCAAATTTGATAAAAACTCGGGTTAAATTAACCATTTAATCCTAACAATCGTGTTCTGAATAGCTCAAATCTCAATAGTCAAATCAATACGGAGTATTAGACAACACAAATCAATTGTCATAAAACAATAGTGTGCTATGATTAGTAGATTTAATACACATTATTAAGACCACACTTTAGAAGAATTGTCCTCATTACACTCATTAGTGCCTAAAAACCATTCGTGCATAGGATCATTTGATGATGCTAATCTAGACAACCCTACACCCTAGAAACCCAAAATCAAGCACAACAAATAACATTATTATTTGCATTTCCCACAACTAATAATTAAACAAATCATTTTTTTTTTTTTTTTTTGTTGATGCAAATAAATAAACAAATAATAAATCCCTACAGACAGCACGAGATGGTCAGAAATTCCACAGAAAAACAAGACACACACAAAGAAACGACTAGAGCAAAAATAATCTCAAAAAATCAAAATTTAAAATTTTAAAAAAAATTAAAAATTTACGAATCCAATGAAACCAAAACCACTAACCAAGTGAAAGCTGTAACTTAGATTTCCCCTTTCTCAAAGCAAAGAACACCATTTTCTCTCTCCTCAAAAATGGCGTAAACTTCTTCTACCTTCAACAATGGCGCAACCACCGCCAAACCCTAAACCTCGCCGCCTCACTCCATGTCATCGTCACCCTAATCTTCTTACTACTGGTCTTTGTGCGCCATGTCTTCGGGAGCGACTCTCTCTCCTCAACCCATCTTCTGCTTGTGGTGAAGCTTCAACTTCTTCTGCTGCTTCCGCCGGAGTTTTGCCGGAGTTGCGGCGGTGCAAGACTTTCTCGGCGAAGAACTGTGATGTTGTCGTCGGAATGGAGCCTCGCCGGAGATCTTGCGATGTTCGTGGTCGGAAATCGTTGTCGTCTTTGTTTGATATTGATGATGATAACGATGAAGAGGACGACGTCGTTTCAGTTCAATCGAGGAATTTAGGGTTTTTGAGTAAAGGTACTTGTCCTGTTCCCGAGGAGGAAGAGATTGAAGTAGTTGAAGGTGAAGTAGATGTTAAACCTAGGGTTTCTAATTTTAGAAATGTAGAAGATGAATTTGAGGAAGCTAATAGGACTATGAAAGAGTTTATAGATCTTGAATTGCAAGTTAAAAATAGTAGTAATAAGAAGGATTTTAAGGAAATTGCTGGTAGTTTCTGGATTGCTGCTTCTGTATTCAGTAAGAAGTTTCGAAAATGGGGGAAGAAGCAGAAGAGAGAGAATAGTGATTGTAATGGAAGAACAAGCAACAATGGCGGTGTTGGTTTGGGGGAGATGAAGCTTGAGAATTTGAGAGGGAGAAGGTTGAGGGATACTCAATCAGAGGTTGGTGATTATGGGTTCGGAAGGCGGTCTTGCGATACCGATCCTCGAGGTTCAATTGATTTAGGTAGAGCTTCGATTGATTGTGGTGGGTTTGGAAGGAGGTCTTGTGATACAGACCCTAGGTTTTCTATTGATTTAGGGCGGGCATCGGTCGATTGTGGTAGAATGTCGATTGATGAGGTTGGGAGGAGTGAGTTTGATGCTCCGAGGGCGTCTTGGGACGGGAATATGCTAGGTGGGAGACCAGCATTGTCTCGTGGTAATGCGAATGGAAATGCCCCGATGGTTTCGGTTATTGAGAATGCTATGGCTACAGTTTACGGGTTTGATAATCGAGTATTGAGTGAAGGGAAGACGAAGGTGGAGAGTGGGAGTGATAGGGAGAGGTGGAGGAATGGGTTTGATCGATCTATGAGTTCAGTAAGGAGGGATATGGGGGTGATTGAGGATGTTGAAGCTAAGGGAATATCGAATGCCAGGGTTTCACCTGCTGCTATTGGGATCTTCAATGGGACTAAGTTGCTTATAACTGAGAAAGATTTGAATGAGTGGAGGTTGAATTCGAATTCCCTAAGGGATGATAATAGCTCGGAGAGCTTTGAGACGGCTTCTAAAGACCTTGCATCCGTCTCTAGCAGCAGTAATGGCAAGGGGTTCAAGAAATGCCGCCAATGGAGCAAGTTGTGGAGTATTTGGGGCTTGCTAAATCGAAGGAAGGGAGACAAATTTGGAAATGAAGAAGGCGATAGAGAACATTTTCAGAGTCCTGATGCTGATTCTGCAGACATCAGTGGAAGGAAACTTACACGAAGCCATAGCACATCGAGCTCTAGAGGCTCTTCCACGATAGTTGGTTCAGTTGGTGGAGTAACGAGTAGGAATGAATCAAAGGCCATTGTTAGGAGTAGGCAGGAACCTGTTGTTTTACAGAGGAATCGAAGCGCTAGGTACACTAACTCACCTAATCACCCCCTCGATAATGGCTTGTTACGATTTTATTTGACGCCATTGAGGAGCCGTAGGAGAAATAGGTTAGGAAAAAGTAGATTGAAGAACTCAAAATCTTTGGCTAGAAGTGTATTAAGGTTGTAATACTGATTACTGAAACAATAGAGCAGTATATGTTGATATGAGCTTTCAGTTTCAGGGCATTCTGTAAAGACACTTGTAACCTTGTTTCATGTTGCTTCTACTATAAAACTTATTTGTAATTTTACCTTTTAGAACACTTTGATGCATTTTTAAATAACATGATCATGATCTCAATTATGCTAACGATTGTTCTTATATGATTATATGCTTTGCTTTTGTGTATGATCTCAATTGGTGTAATGATGTTTGGTGACGCTTTCATTGTTCAAACGGAGTAATTGTAATATGCATTGTGTTATGTTGGTTATTTCATAATTTTGGGACTGAGGTTTGCAAAAACAGTTTATTAAGTGAGGTTTCTTTTACTCAGGCAGGCTGCTGAGTACTGAACTACTGACTACATATTTCTTGGTATGTTCGTAGTAAATGATTGTGGATGACATTCTTGGTGATTTGGTCTATCAGTTTAGCTAGCAAAAAAAATGTATTTTCAGAGGCTACTCATTTTTCTTACTCTCTTAATCTCACTAAGATCGCTCTATCTGACACAAAAAAATCGCAAAAAAAAAAAGGTTAAATGGGCAAATCTAATGGGATGGGAGGGAGTATGAGGTTTTATTTTGTGAAGTGAGATGACAGGAGGAGTGCACTTTCGTGGCATATGACATGGGTAAATCAAAGTCTTTCATCGAGTCCGAGAAAAACAAAACAAGCGTTCACTTAGTTTAATAAACTGTCAAATACAAAAATGTCTGTTCCCCCCTTTTAGTTTTTACCATTCCTACTGTATGATGTTTGTAACATTTGTGATATGCGAGCTAAGATTTTTCGATTATGAAGTTGCTGGGCAACCCTCACGTTGTTCTTGGGTTATTTCCTTAACCCTTGATGTGTCTCATCCTATTCAAAGCTGAAAGACCTCTAATTCCAAAACAGTTACAAAGTAAGCAAATTTTTTGGCACGGAAGCGATACTAGTTTGAGCTTTAACATAGCCAGTATAGCACTAGATTCACTTCATCTTTCCCTGTACAATGCGGAATAATTCCTTATAACTACCTCTGTCCAGTCGTCCGGATTTACTGATCACATTAAGGTCAAGAACACTATCAGGGGGTGTTTGATATAAACATTGAAAACAAAATGAAAAAGAAGCAAATAAGAGGGGGAAAAGGAATAATCTAACTACTTTTCCATTTGTTGGATTTAACCATGTAGATAAATTACTTAAACCTAACTCCCTCTCTTTTTGTCAGCGGAAAGTAAGGGTAATTATTACCTTAAGTTTTTAAAAAATAATAAATAGGTGGAAACTATTACCCCTTAGGTAATGGTAATTGTTACTCAAACTATCTAACCAAACACTCTGTAATGATAAATCCGTTTCCAACCAAAATATCACTCTTACTAAACATGCTCTCAATATTACTATTACTTCCGCACAAGAGAAGTTTTCCTTTAAAAGGGGGGAAAAAGGGGGTGAGACCAGGTGGTAGACGATAAATTTGCATTCGAACAAGGAATGTTTCTATTACCTTCTCATCTAAAGCACAATATGAGCAGAAAAAAATAGTGTCACAAAACTGTGCAGCTTGACTTTCCTAGATACACACAGCCTTCTCAACATTGAGTCAAGTTTGCCGCAAGAAAATCCCCGTTAGGGTGTATAATCACAAAGTTCAGGCCTAAATTTTGCTACTTTTGCACTGTAATGTGCAACCATTACAGGCAAAAACCCAAAAAAGGGGAATCCTCTGAAGTCTGAACTAAAAGGAAACCTGAAAAGAGTTGTTCAGTAAGATACCGGTTCCAGTGTGTCATCTTCTCCCAGTCAAGTAGTGGGACTTGGCAAGTTTTGTACTATCATCACTATTGGGTCGCGGTCTTTTCTGAGAGCTCTTGGTATTTGGAGCTTCCTCCACCTCATCATCATCACTATCAAGCAATTTATATCCCAACCGAGTTATCATGCTAATGCGCTTAGGAACATATACATTCAGATAATAACTGACAATATCTTTCCTGGTCTTAGATGGGAAGGATGATTCAGCTGGCTGCAGAAAACTCTTACCCTGTGACAATGGATTTGCACAGACAAGGCTATCGAACTTCTTTTTCTGTTTTGATGTCCAGGACTTGCCAACATCTTCACCCATCTCGTCAAATTTCCAACTCTTAAATGCAGGGCCCAGGTCAGATTGCAACCTTGCTCTTGCTTCCGAAATATGTTGTTTTGCACACTGTGAAGAACCAGGAGAAGAACAAGAGCAGGAATCAGGCCTTCCCTTTCCTATTTTACCTCCTGAATCAGTACTGTCATTTTGAAAGGCCCAAATTCTGGTACCTAACCACCTTGAAGTATCTAAATCACCATTTTCGTGCATATGATTAGAAGCACTTGTCCATTCTGGCACATCAGCTTGAAATCGAGGACCAACAGGTATTACTAGTGCAGGCAGGCAATCATTAATATATTCTAACCAGTCCGCTGACTTCTGAGGTGATTGCAGATTTCTTTTCTTTGGCTTGTGCATGGCGAATGTATCAAACTGCAGCCTAGTTATATTTAAACATTGATACCCAGATGATTAATATTTAGTAAGTTGGAGTAACTTGCTGGTTCCCAATATTCACAAGAATCAAGATGTCTGTACATGTGCATGTTGTCAAATCAAATGGAAAATCTTGTTGAGTTCAACTAAAAAGTACCAGATTCAAATCTGTAATGCTGGAGAATATTTCTGATTCCGCACAATATGCTGCTCAAAGCCTTCAGCTGTAGTCCAAATTAACCAGTCCTTAACTAACTCCTTAGAATCAGCTGATCCAACCAGTCCAATAACCTATTAATGAAAAGAAGAATTGATTTAGCACATTAAACAAAAGTGATCGAATAGTAGCTAAAGCAACAAAGTAGTCAAACTTTCATATGCCACTACAATAAAACCACCAGCAAACAAGAATCCAATTATGCAAGGGTCGGATACGAAAAAATATACAGCTTACCCCTGCAGAAGCAGAGAAATTTTTGTTTCCATATACCCTCCATCCAGGAGAGACCATTCTGGTATACCATTTTAATTTGACTTCCTTTAATTCACCTAAAGACCTTTCTCTAAACTTATCAGAACTTACTTGAAATTATTAGTGAATTGAACTAGGGAAGCCCTCATCAGAAATAATTGCAGCTTATCGGAGCCTTTTTGAACTAATATCCACTGAAACTTTTTTTTAAGGTGAAAAGAGCACAGCTGTTCTGTTATCGAGTACAATTGATGAGCTAGCTGACGAGGAAATCATCCTACACACTTAATGCAACAAGGGGAACAAGGACCCAAAGGGCCCCTTTTCACACAATATTGACAATACTACTCAGACAGCCATGAATTAGAGGTACACCACTTTAAACAGCTCTATCACCACTTGGTTCCCATAGAAGGACAGAACAGCATATTTGCTGTTTCAAATAACATCGCAGGAACTATATATTCTCACTCTTACATCATTTTATCAGCAATGCATTAAGTAAAGAAAAAATCCATCCGAGTATAATCTAAGAAACAAGATCAACTATCTCAGCTAAGCACATATAGCTATTTGTCACAGCCCACTAAGGCAAAATACCACAATACTATTTTACCACTCCAATCGCATTACATGTATCCCTAATGTACAAATAGATCCACCACCAGACCAAAGTACGCAACAAGTTGAACCAATTTCCCATCCTTCTCACACTATTTCATAAACAATACCTTATGTGTTTCTTGTAGATTTATGTGACTACACTTCTTCCCATTATTGGAAAAAAATAATAATAATAATACATGCATACAAGTACCTTTACATATTTATGAGATTCCAAAAGTACATTATCTAACAAGTTAGTTGAGGATTTTACTTCCATCTATATGAGATGTCAAGGTTATACTCCATTTATATTCTTACTGTATATGACAATTTTTGCACTTGCCAACACAAAATTCATGTTAACCAATATGAAAATTTCACATTTGAAAGCAAAGCTATAAGAAAACGGAAAATTATTTTTTTAAAAAAGGACCCAACAAGATTCGCCACATCGTTCTAACATAAAACATGGTGGGTTTTGCATAAACATCATCGATTTTTTCCGTAAAACTGCACTTCGTACCTACATAAAATAGCTTTTCCACAATAACTCCCTTCAACAATTGATACCTGTCTACTAAATGACTTCATTTGTGAGTAAATACCACATCAAAAACTATCTTGAATACACTTAGCAAGCTTCATCTATGAACATGACATAAACACAATTACTCAATGCTGCAAGTGGGGTATGGTAATGACGTTGTTGAGGACGATCTGTTTTGACTAACATCTTGCATATATACGCTATATGCATTAGAGTAGATTAATCTTGTATAAAGGCCGCATGTTATCACCAATTTCATGTAACACAGAAACCTCCACTTCTGATTAATCTCAACTAAACATTCTGTGCATGATACTAAGACAGCAATTGGAATCCACATGAGAAAAAGTTATGCAGTAGCCTGTACTTCCTCCCCGGCTCCCTCAACTAGCAAACAAGGTACATAGAGGGGAAAAAAATAGGAAAAGAGCACTACATACAAAGAACATAAGCAATTACACATCTAAACATGTAGAGAAAGACAAGAACATAGAACCAGCCAAGCCTACCTATTTAACTATATTTGTGACATTTATTATACCCCTTCCTTGGGCAATTCCAAAACATGAAAGCATATTTTATCAGAACTTCTCATAATGGTCATAAACAAGTCCTCTTATTCTTATGAAGTTGAAGCAAATAATAGCAATGCTATACACTTATTCGATTCAAAAACCAATTAGAACCATGGAAAAAAAAAAGGTATATTAAAGCATACATAGCAATATTATTTAATTTACATAACCTTATCGCCAATTTGTTAGCCACATTCTACCAGTAAATCCAAGTCCATCACATCATTTAGATGGGTTCTTGACAACAAATCTCGGAAGCTGTGCGAATGTTCCGAATTAACAACTCTTCCCTAGCATGCTAATGCGTAGTAATTGGAATAGAACCATCACACATATGAACTACATTGTTAATTTTCTTTACATTTTATTTCTTGAACTACCCAATAACAATTCTTAGACATTTTAAGGATCTAAAAATGAACTTAAATGTAACATTTACTTTGCACTAAATTTCTGCAGCTACCCAATAACAATTCTCGAGGGTTTTAGTACCCGAAAATGAACTAATTGATAAATTCTAGTTTCCATTTTATTCTGAGGCATGAATGTAGGCAAAAAATACATGTAAATTGGTTCACATTACTAATTGAAAAAACTAAAATAACCCAAAAAAAAAAAAAAAAAATCGAAGAGAAAAATATTTGCAAAAAAAAGTAAATCTAAGAAATAGCATCCCGCTTCCGACGAACCCGCAATCAATTGAATTGAATCCACCCAAGATTCCCACACCGTCAGAACCCCAAAAAAAATTCCCAAATCAGATAAAATGATTTAAATTAGTACAATAAACTAATCTTTCCGGGTCAAATCTAAGCCACCCCATTAATGATTTAAAAATGGAAAAAATGAAAAACCCAGTTCAAATTCATAGAGAAGAGAAAAAAAAAAAACCTGTGAAAACAAACCTTGCTTTCTTCCTCACTAAAACGGAGCTCCAATTTTCGTCGGATTTGCCTCACTGGATCAAACAAAGATGGAAGAAAGAGAAAATTTTTTGATTGAAAAGAAAAGGAAGGGGGTGTTGCGGCGGAGATGACGGTGGTGGTGGCGGCGGAGGAGGTGGTGGTGGTGGCGGCGGCAACCTAAGAAGGTTGGGGAGGGGAAAGGTAGGAGAAAGAACTCATTCTTTCCTTGGTTTTTTTTTTTCTAAATTGTCTTTTTTTCTTTTTTACTTTTAATGTTTCTCAACTATTTGTTGGGTTTATTTTTAGAATTGTAATACTTTAATTTTCACGTTTGTCAATGCATTTATTTATAATATACTTAGTATATTCCGTGTATAATACTCTACCGTATCTGTTTCTTTTTTATGGTTACAGTTTGACTTTTACGGTATCAGGTGCACAACTTTAACCACTATATAATATTCAAGTAAATATGTAACCATAGAAAAGATTTGGAGAGAGTATAGTATAACCACAGTCAATATTGTGTGCTATGTGTGGAAAATTTGTACTACAAAAGCGATTGTACCTTATACTCTCTCTATTTCAAAATAAGTTCTCCTATATAATTTTTCTACAGATTAAGGCTAGGTTCAAATCACCTGATCGGATATAAAGATCTGAGCTAATTTTATTGAATTATGTGGTATTTTAATTTGACCAGATTTTGACATTATTTGTGCACTAATTCATATGATGAAAAATGATCAAATGAGATGTCATTATATTCGTATTAATATACAATTTCAAATATGAAATTTTTGTAGTTTTTTAAACTGCGAAACTAAAGATATCTAACCATAAATAAGTCCAAATAAAGGAATTTTTGTTAATTACTACCTCAAAAACAGAGGCTTTGTGAATTACTACCCCTAAAAAAAGTTCTTCATTACTACCCCTAATTCACCTAAATAGGACCGATTACTACCCAATTGCACTTTCCAATGACTTAACTCACCTTATGACGTCATTACTCCGATTTAACCACAGTTCACACTAACTCCAATCTAATTAACCTAACTAACCCAAATTAACACAATAAACATTAAACAAAAAATTACCGCAACTAATTCTTCTATATAAATCAGTATCCCCAATTCAACCCCTATAACAGCTCTTTCACCATATCCAACTCAAATCCTCTCATCTTATCCATTGCAAATCTCCAAATCTTCAATTTTCTGTCACATCGCACAGTTTAGCTTGCCAGAGGAAGACATCTTAAGAGATAATTCATTAATTTGCTTCAATGTTAGTGTAAAGTTGTCTAATTTTTAGGGTTTACTGTAATTTCATAATTGAACAATTAAGCAACATAAATCCTTCAATTCAAACCTAATTTAGCATTTGTTTTTGGTTGCAGATGAGTTTGCAAATTGCTCGAGCCAATAGAAGGCTTTGTAGGTGTGGATTACCTACTTCAATCATGACCTCTTAGACAAAAGAGAATCCGGGAAGACGATTTGTTGCCTACCAGATTTTGATGCAGAAACAAACACAAGGGGTTGCAATAATTTTTACTGGCATGATGAAGAAATGACTCAATGGCAAAGGGACACCATACTAAGGCTTTTGGAAGAAAGACAGGAACTGAGAGAAGAGAATGAGATTATGAAGAAGCAATTGGCATCATTGAATCAGGAATCTAGGAAAATTAAGACTAAGTATGTGATGTTGAAGATGAAGCACAACTATGGAGATGTCAAACTAAGCAACTGGGCTATAGGTCTCATTGATGTTGTTGTAGTTGGTTTGTTTTGGTTTAGGGGGGTTTAATGCAATGTATGAATAGGTTGGATTTTGGTAGTGAAATTGTAAGATAGTAGTATTTGGTTGTTATGTGTAGTGTAACTTGGAAGTGCTTTAACTTTATCAATAAGATGGTTTGAATTTGACTTTCATATTATTGTTTGCAAATCAAGGTAATTGAACCAAATCAATCAAGCTCAAAACAGGAGAAGCAAAGTAAATACATTCATTTTGATAAGCAAAGTCAGCATACACAATAACAAAAGCTTGACTATAATTGCCAAGACCAACATAAATAGTCAAAATAGAACATAACTTGGCAAAATAGGCATGCATGCCATAATTGTACTACAAAATAGGACTTAAACTACCTAAATGTTGAAGTCTTACACCAAACACATTACATAACAGTTGTACTTTGAACCTAAACAAACAACTACTCTCTCATTTCATCAGTTGGACTACTAAGCTGCTATGACTGCCCTGCTCTTCTGACAGTTGATGCTTGGGATGAGCTCTCTCCAACCTTAGCTTATGTTTCCTGCTGGTTATACCCTGCACAATCCACCACCAAATTAAGAAAGAAAATTTTGTAAGGGATGCCAAAAACACCAAAAGAGAAATACAAGTACCTTGTTTTTAGACCTATTTTCCTTCTGCAACCCTCATTGCTCTGCTATGCACCATCCATGGGTCATCAGAGAATGGTTTCCCGCCCTTATTCTTGGGTTTAGATGAGGTTTCAAGGGTTGGGTTCTTGCATCTCTTGATGTTATGTCCATATTGCATGCAATTGGAACACTTGTATGGCTTCCCACCCATTCTTGCAGCCTTCTTTGCAAGGTCAGCAGCCCTCTCAGCATCCTCTCCAACTTCCTTCTTCCTTTTCTTCTTTGATGGCCTGCTTGGCATGACCTTAAATGGGGGTGGAAGTGGCTCAGGGAAAGAAGTCTTTTCCCATTGCTTAAGCCCTGGCATAGGCATCAATACAGCGGTATAGGCAGCTAGGTACTTGTCCCTTGAATAAGCTGCATCCACATAATCCTCATCTGGATCCCCTCTCATGTACAAAATACAAGCATATGCATAATGGCATGGTATCCCTATCAACTGCCAAGAATAGCAACTGCATTTCCATGCATTCAAATCAACTAGATGCCTATCTCCATTGTTTTCAACCTCAAACAACACTTCTGTAATCCCAGTCAGTATTTTGTACTTCCTAGTTCTCTCAGCCCAATCAAATTGTTTATTAACATAAGGCATGAACCTCCATTGCATTTTTTGAGCTCCCTCCCTTTTCTGACAATTTCTTTGCATAACATATCTTCTCATCCATTCCACGTGTGTTAAAATTGGTTTGTCTCTTGCTTGTTTTAAGACATTGTTAAAGCTCTCACACGTGTTATTCAAAAGCATTTTTGATTTAGGGGTAGAAGAAAATGCATGCCTATTCCAGCAATGGGAGGGGATAACAGACATGTATTCATATGCTTTCTCAGACATGGTTTTCAATTTTTGCATATGCTCATTGAATTCTAACTTTTCTGACAATTTCTGACAATTTCTTTGCATAACATATCTTCTCATCCATTCCACGTGTGTTAAAATTGGTTTGTCTCTTGCTTGTTTTAAGACATTGTTAAAGCTCTCACACGTGTTATTCAAAAGCATTTTTGATTTAGGGGTAGAAGAAAATGCATGCCTATTCCAGCAATGGGAGGGGATAACAGACATGTATTCATATGCTTTCTCAGACATGGTTTTCAATTTTTGCATATGCTCATTGAATTCTAACTGCACAATCACAATAAACCAAACAACCAAAGCTAATCTAATTACAACAACAAACACTGGCTTTAAGCATACATTTAGGAAAATGAGGTGCATACCACAGTTGTAGCCTTTGCTGCTTTCCACAACAACTCCTTGTAAGCCAAACCATTCCACTTCAGCTTGAAATTTGACCATATGTGCCTCCAACAGAATCTGATTCCAGCCTTGGGTACAACATTTTGGAAAGCTTCTAACAGTCCCTGCAAAACATTCCACACAGTTAGTTATATGTCCCATTCCCAAAACTTAATCAAAATGAATCAAAGCAAAGTCACTAGAGAGAGCAAACTCACTTTTTGTCTATCTGACATGAAAGTGTATCCATGTCCATCCACTATTCCCAATGCTGAAGCTAACAGGTCCAATAACCATGACCAAGTGTCTAACACCCCAAGCTAGGGGATAAATGTTGTTATTCCCATCACTTGCCATTGCCACAAGACAGATCCCTGGATATGGACCTGTTAGATGGCAACCATCTAACCCAATAAGAGGCCTACACCCTGCCTTGAAGCCATCCATCCCTGGCTTTAGTGATATAAACATCCTCTGGAAAATGGGAAGGGGTCTCTCTATGTTCTCACACATGCAGAAAGCACTGCTACCCTCATTGTACTTCTTCATAGCATATGCATAATCCCACACCCTTTGTATTGCTCTGACCTATCTCCATACAACATCATCTTTGCTCTTGCTCTTGCAAACCATAACTTGTAATAACCACAATAAACACCTGTATCTCTCAAAACCCTTTGACCAAACCACTCTGGATCAGACCTCCAATCTTCCAAGTACTTCTCTGCCAAGTACTCTGAGGTCACTTTTCTGTTCTTTTCTGCAGCCCTACATGTGTGCTTCAACTTCATTGCCCTAATGAACATTGTTTCTTCTAGCTTCAGTGTTCTTGCAATAACCTTGAACTTGCACAAAGGCTAAAGACAAGAATAGTTTCTCTTAGACCTTTTTGGGTCCCATAGGCAAGCACATCTATCTTTGCAATAAGCAGTCACCTTCTTCTTCCCATTGTGCAGCAAGTAGTAGTCATATTTGTTCTCTATTGCATGTTGTCTCAGTGCTTTTCTAAACACATTCACTGAAGGAAACCTTAACTTAGGTGTGAGCTTAATTGGATGCTCAAAATTAACTTCTGGGTTGAATGTTTAATTTGTGTCCTGTCAGCCTCCTCATCTGACCCATCTATGCTTCCTGGCTCTTCAGAATCATAATCAATTTCCTCACCTAAGTTTGACTGTTCTGCCAAGTCAACTTGTAGCCTAGCTTGAGACCTAGTGACTCTACTAGGGACTTCCTTCACTTCTCTAGCAGGCAAAGTAACTCCTCCAATGCTGCTTACTACAGTGTGTAGAATATTTGCCCCCAAACCATCAGCAAACAAATCTTCTTCTTCCTTGTCATCAAAATCATAGTCATCTAAATATGGAAGGACATTAAGTTCATAGTTAAACTCATCTTTATCCTCAAACTGTTCTCTTAATTCATCTCCATTCTAAAACACATCTTCTGCCTCCTCTAACTCATCCCCATCCTTACCACTTTCATTATCTTCTTCCCCATCCAGCCAAACTCTCTTACCTGTTGACCTAGGTTCTAGAACAGAGTTAGCCACCTCCTTCCTCTTTCTGGATACCTTTTTCTTACTTCCTGTCTTCTCTACAGCCACATCCTCCTTCTTCTTACTCCCTTTATTCTCTGCAGCCACAACATCATTCTTTGTCTTCAAGTTGTCTATGTACCTCCTAAACTCACTCTCACTAATGACCTGAGCTTCTTGGCTAGATCTAAGTGCATATGTTTTGACAGGAGATGCAATTGGTGTTTTTTGGGATGTTTTTCCCCTCACAGGTAGTTTAGATCTTGTGAACTGGTGGGATTGAGAAGAGGTAGGCTTTATAGAAGGGTTTGGGTGAGGGTTTGAAGAAGTGGTACCCCTTTCTATTTTAGCTATTAGTAGAGGAGGGTGTTTTGAGGAAGGGTTTTTCTGAGGTGAGGGTATCTTTTGAGCTGGTTTTTCAATGCAAACATCATCCTTTTGTGCACCACCTACCATTATTGAATTACTTTATATGGGCCCACATTCAACTTTTTCCATTCATCACACTCAAACACAACATACAAAGTAATAATTACATCTAATTGCCCAACACCTTTCAACAGATTATCAATGTCCCACTGGTCAAGCAACACCTTTCTCCCAGTGTTCAAACACTTGCCAAATTTTCTGTACCAAATTTTGTACTCCCCAAATTTGACTTTGAACCTATCTACTACAAGCCTATTTAAAGACCCAATGCTCATGGTCCTTGTAGACACCTGACCCTCTAACAACATTTCACCCCCACTACAAAACACCACACTCTTACTGGTCTTAAAATTCCCCCATAAAACATTCGAATACCAATATAAGGTGGAATTTTTTTCTGAACAATCCTGTACAATTTTAAAAGCATTCAACAAGTTATAAGAAGGAATCCATTTTAACTATCTATTGCTTCAAACAAGTAATTTCACAGTACCACCATAAACAAAAACTACATCTATTATACAATTGAAGATCAATTCAAACCTAGGTTTAAGCACGCATTCCAATTACTCATCAATTTCAATTATGCAAAACGATTTAAATAGTGTTAAGCGCATAAAGACAATAAATTTACTTACTTGGAACCAACTATTACAGGGGCCTTTCTCGTTTCTCCTCCAATGCCAATTCCTTTGTTCTTCCCCATTTTTGGCTCAATACACGACGAATGTTGTTTACAGGCAAGTAACTTTATTAATTAGGGAAAATTTTAAGCATGCAATTGCATTATTGCGAACACAAACATCAATTATGGGTTTTAGATGGGTTTGGTTAGGGGAGAAGAAGAGTACGGGAGATATAGAGAGAGAGAGAGAGAGAGAGAGAGAGAGAGAGAGAGATGAGGGAATTTACTTCTTTTTTTTTTTCCTGATTTTTAGGTAAGGTAATTAATGTGGGGTAAGATTGGTTGGGGTATTTTTTTTTTTTGGGTTAGTTAGGTTAAGGATATTTTTGATTTTAACACCTGACAAAAACCCGAAAATGGTTTTTAACACCCCCAAAAAAATGTATTTTAACACCAGACAAAAACTATAAAAATGGTTTTTACCACCACTTAATTGATTCCATTTAGGAATCCGTTAAATGGGGTCATGAGCCACATGTCGCTTTTTTATTGGCCAAAAAAAAAAAAAAAAAAAACTTAAAACTACCCAGCCACCCTAGCCCCACCACTGCCACCTTCTTCTTCACCATAACCCACAGTCGCCGACGCAACTACCGGCGCACCAGCTCCCCCTCCCTCACCGACCGACCTAAACCCATCTCCACCCTTTTCCCGCATCCCTAAACCACCCTAGCCCCACCACCGCCATCACCAGCCACGAATTTCGATTTGCTCTGATTTTCAATGTGCTCTGATTTTATGGTTGTTGCTTCAAGAACGGGCACGAATTTAGCCATTGATGGCCGAAATCGACCAGTTAAGGCCACTCAGCCCTAAAACTAGCCGATTTCAGCCATTAATGGCCATATTCGTCGCTGTTTTTGGGGAAGGAATGTTGTGGAAACAGCCAACCCCACCACCCCTGAATCAGAAACGGCCAACCCCACCTAACCACTAACCCGATACCCAACCTCACCTTCGAACACCCAAACTTCACCGGATCCCGAAACCCACCCCAACCTAGCTCCAAAACCGTAGTTGTCGGGACCGATTTCGAAGGTGGGGGAATGATTCAACGTTGGTGGCGGTTCCCGATTTCTAGGCTGCGGGAAGGGAGGAGGAACCGGTTTTGGTTTTTTGGGAAGCGAGGGTACGCCGATTTCCGGTGTTAGGGCTGGTTCAGGGGCGAAACCCGGTGGCGGGGGGCTGGGAGGGGGTGGTTCGGGAGTTGGCTGGGGAGAAGGGCCACCATTGGTGGTTGCCTGCTTGTTGTTTGAGTAAAAAAAAAACTTTTTTTTCTTTTTATTTTTTTTAAATTTTTTCTTTTTTTTTCTTTTTATTTTTTGAAAACAAGTAAAATGGTGACACGTGTCACTGTGGACCCCACTTAACGGAATTTTTGGACGGAGACCGTTAAGTGGTAGTAAAAACCATTTTTGTAACATTTGTCTGGTGTTAAAATACATATTTTTTTTTGGGGTGTTAAAACCCACTTTCGGGTTTTTGTCAGATGTTAAAATTAAAAATATCCTTAGGTTAATTAGATTAGAGTTAGTGTGAATTGTGGTTAAATCGGAGTAATGACGTCATAAGGTGAGTTAAGTCACCGGAAAGTGCAATTGGGTAGTAATCGGTCCTATTTAGGTGAATTAGGGGTAGTAATTAAAAAAAAATTTTTTAGGGGTAGTAATTCACAAAGCCTCTGTTTTTGAGGTAGCAATTAACAAAATTTCCCCAAACAAAATATAAAATTTGCTCGCTATGGTTTGGTCTAATTATTTTTGAATAAACAAATACTTCCATTGTATCTAAGTAAGTGCATCAATTTGACGGAAATTGATTTTGGCACACCCTTAACTGATATTGGTAGTTTGGTACACCTCCATGTGAGAAAACCATAAAAAAACTGTGCTCTCACATAGGGTGGACCAAAATCAACATATGGTGTGCCAAAATCGTTTTCCCAATTTGACTACCATAGATGTCAACACAGAATTTTGACCATGTATATTTTTAAATTTGTACTATCTCCGTATTTTTTAAAGTGAAACATTTCTCTTGCACGTAAGCCAATGAAAAACTTTTACCAACAATATCTTTAATAATCAATAAGTAAAAATTATAACAATTGAATATTAATAATCTATTCATTGAGACAATTCCAACAAGTACTCACAAGACTATATTTTTTCTTATGTATATATCACAAGCGTTAGTCAAAATGGATCAGGTGAATAATGCAAGGAGTCAAAACGTTTCTGTTAAATATGACTTGAAATCTAGTATAGTGGCAAAGGGTCAACTTCAAACGCACATATCTCTCAATCCAGAAGTGATCTTGAGATGATTCAAGTTGGAGGTGATAGCTTGTTTCAAGAACTTTCCAACAATAGGTCATATTCCCAATTCCAATAAGACGAGAAAGTTATGGCTATTTTACGAAAACCTGACGAAGCTGGAAATTTGCGACGAGGCGGGCGAGCTATAGCTCTAGGCGAGTGAGCTATAGCTCGGCCCTATGAAGAATTGCGGTAGGCTTGAGCTAGCTGCCGAGCTATTGCTCGGTAGTTTTGTTCTTCTAGGATAATTTATGAGATATTTCCTAAAATTATATCTTTTCTTTGACAACCATTTGAGTATCCCTTAGGGAATAATTTAGGGTTTCTTTAGGGTTTCTTTATGTCATATAAGAAGTCGTTGGGTGGACAATTGGAAATGCTAAATATTGATTAATTAGCCTAGCCAATTAAAGTCAATATGTAACTCCACTTTTAAGAGATTTTGTGAGATGGAGAGTGTTGTTGTATCTCCCTTTTTTGTTATCTCTCTTGTTTGTCCTCCACGAAAGCTAATAAGAAACATATTATCCCTTACCCTGTGGACTTAGGTCTTGTTGACCGACCCACGTATATCTGTGTG